CCCCAAAACCCCAAAACCCCAAAACCCCAGTTCTAATGATTAGCATGTAAAAGATAGATTAGAGAAATTAAAATCATAGTAAAAACTATTTTGAAATTAAAAAGATATAATAATTGCTGCAATGGAACCTTTATTGCCAGATCCAAAAAAAGATAGAATGGTGAACACAGTTCTCCCACCTCCTCAGTATCCATTAACTCACAATCTACTATTCCCGGAAAACAAAAGAATTGGAAAGCAAGAAGTGCCTGATTGGAACTTCCTAAAAGATCACCTTTTAAAAGAAGGCAGGATTCATAAAAAAGATCTCATCCAAATTATTAATGATGTTACGGAAATCATGAGTAATCAAAAATACAATCACCTAATCTAACTAATATAGAGAAGGAGCCAAATGTATTAACTGTAGATGAGCCAGCAGTTATAGTCGGAGATATTCATGGCTAGTATTATGATTTGGTACATTTGCTCGACAAAGCTGGTGATCCATCCACACTAAAGTAAGTATAAAAACGATCAAACCATATTACGGTATCATTCTATATCTCTGTATTTGTATCGTTATCGGTATGAGAGTGGGCTATGTCAAAATACAAAGTTACTATTGAATTATATCAAAATTGATCAATTTAATGAATAACGCTTTAATTTTATAGCTATGTTTTTCTAGGAGATTATGTAGATAGAGGTATTTATTCCATGGAATGTCTAATGTTACTCTTTGCAATTAAGGTTAGTGTTAATTTATGCTTTTTTGAATTGAACTTGAATATTATTAATAGCTGAATTACCCTGGTCACTGCTTTTTACTTAGAGGAAATCATGAGTGCAGAGGTATCACAGAGCATTTCACATTTAGAGCAGAAGTGCTAGAAAAGTTTGATATTGATGTGTATGAACTTATAATGCAATGCTTTGACACGATGCCATTGATTGCAGTAGTAAATCAGCAATATCTATGCATGCATGGTGGTGTTTCTCCACATATGAAAACAATCGAAAGTGTCAATGATGTTAACCGTTTCTCAGAGATCCCCTTAGAAGGACTTATATGTGATATTGTTTGGGCAGATCCAATAGATGATGAGATAGCAGATAAATATGAATATGCAGACAACCCAGAGAGGGCATGTTCAGTTAAATATGGTTTAGATCCAGCCAAAAAACTGCTTGATGATAATGATCTAACTTTACTAGTAAGAGCTCATTAGGTTTAAGTCTAAGGCTACAAAATGCACTACTGGGAAAAGCCTTAATCTTTACCAACTGTCATAACGATATTCAGTGCTCCAAACTACTGTGATTGCTATAAAAACAAAGCTGCTGTTATTAAACTAGAAGGGGAGAATTTTAGCATAAAAAATTATGAAGAAGTTCCGCATCCGTATCATTTACCGGGTGGTATAAATTTATTCTAGTTTTCTATGCCCTACTTAGCAGATAAAGTTCTTGATATGCTATTTCATATACTTAAAAAAGGTGATAATATTGAACAAAACGATGGTTATGTAATGGAAGAAGATGATGTGGACTTCAACAGATTGTTAGCAGCTATTGGGCCAGGAAACACAAATGATGCCGCAGTTATGAAAAATAAAATCAATGCGGTTAGCAGAATGCGCAGAATGTATAAAAACCTCAAAGAAAATCATGACATTCTCCTGCAGATTAAGATGGTGAATGATGGCAGAATTCCAAGGGGACTGCTACTGGATGGCAAACCAGCAATAAGAAATGCTGTCAAGGAGTTTGACCTTGCTTCTTAGTTAGATAAAGAAAATGAAAAGAGGCCTCCACACAAGCATATGAATTAATGATAACATATTGAAAATATATCTGAAGAAATTAAGTATTTGGAATTTACCAAATTTTTGCATAATCTATTCTTTACGGGGTTTTGGGGTTTTGGGGTTTTGGGGTTTTGGGGTTTTGGGG